ACAAGTAATAACAACAATAATCAATATCATCATAGTGGGTGGTGGCGGTGGCAGGACTGGCCTGGGCCAGTCCAAAGGCCTCGGGGGGCTGCATCCGGCCCCCGGGCCTTAGGTTGCCTACCCCTGCCATAGACAAACACTTTCCAAAGAAATCTTTCCAAGAAAACCCCATGATAGGTTCATCTTAGGGTTACCATAATTTGGAAATTACTTGAAGGCACACAAGAACAAAACTACAAACCCCAGGATTCCATAAGCTGTTGCCATAGCAGTTAAAGTGGAATCACAGTCCTATCATTTGTTGTGTGAAAAGACCCGTTTTTGAAACAGTAGAAAACCAGCTCACTTCATCTTCTGTATGACAATCCTGTTAAGTTATTGCCTTGTTTGCATGTGAAATAAAGATAAAAAAGAGAATTAATAGGATTTTGGGAAATAAATAATTTGATATATAGTTATATTTCGTGTGCGCGCCTGCCTGCCTGCCTGCCTTCAAGTCACCTGTCGACTTATGGAGACACTGCATTTCATAGGATTTTCTTAAGCAAGGATTATTCAGAAGTGGTTTGCCCATTCCTTCCTTTGAAAATGTAGCCTACAGCACCTGGGATTCCTTGGTGGTCTCCTATCCAAGTGTTAACCAGAGGTGAGCCTGCTTAGCTTTCAGGATCAGACAGGATCTGGTACCTTTAGGATATTTAGGATAGACCGATTCAAATCAGTTGGCTATTGCTCATGACAAACTTGTCATTGGCTTTCAAGGGTCAACTAAGTACAATCAAACCTGCATCCAACCCAATGTTTGTGACTTTTTGACTACCCCCAACCCCCCCCTCTCTATATAAAGCTACATAATGGACTAGGCAACTTCCTCTGCTGTTAGAACTTAGATCAAAATCAAGCTCCTTTAGGCTTGAGAAAGACCATTCCTGGCCAGAGGTATTAAAAACAGATGGCTAGAAAAGATAAGTAGTTTTAAGTGGAATGACTTATAAATGTACTAGATATGCATAGCTCAGCTAAGTTCAGATATATGCAGCTGAACAAACAAATTACTATTCTGGTTTGATCTTTGGAGCTTGTTGCCTATTGACACACTTTTCTATTTTAGGAATGATCATTATTTAATGTCAGTCTAGAGCCAGTGAAGTTTTAAAGGAAGTTGGAACTCATACAATAATAATAAAATAATCATATAAGAAAAGGACTTTCAATGAATACCTTTTCTCTCAAAGGCAACCAAGAATAGAGAGAAAATAATAATGTACAGATGATTGAGACAAATTCCCAGAAAAACTGTTCTTTGGGGGTACTTCAAGTATTAGTTTCATAACATGATGTTGCCTTGTTGGAACCCAATGCTAAGTATCTTTATTCTGTTATAAGTCCCATTTCAGGACATTATCACATGGGGTCTAAAGCAGTGCCATCCTCGTCGCATCCCCATCCCATTCCACTTCTTTTTCCCCTGTGTTCACACGACGTTGCAGAGAAACCCCGCCCATCCCCGTCCCATCCCCGTCCCATTGCGGTTCTTTTCCCCGTGTCTTCACACGACGTCGCATCCCATCCCCGTCCCATTGCGGCATCATCCGGCATCATCCCTGTTCTTTTGAATGCCAGATTCTTTTGGGAATTACATTTCTGCCACGACCAGAATGATACCGGAATGATGCTGCTTTCTTTTTGCCAATAAGTTCTGGATTGAAAAGGAACCGCAATGGGATGGGGATGTGATGGGGATGGGACTGCTTTAGGCCCCGTGTGATAACGTCCATAGTCAATGGAACTACTCAATTAAGTATTCATTGCGGAGGTGGTCTTCCAGATGTTGCTGTACTACAAATCCTGTCATCCCTGATTGCTGACCATGCCAGCTAAGGCAGATGGAAAGGACAGTTTCCTGACCACTGTCTTATTGCATTGCAAGTTAAGTAAATAGTAGAATTAATGCAAGAAACCCATTGTGAGAGATTAAACCCATTTTGTTTGTTATGACCCTTTATTAATGTATAATGTGGAATATGACGTTGATAGACATTCAACACAGTGTAACAATGACTAATGAGATCTTTGCAGTTGGTAGATCTGAGGAAAAGTATAGAAACTTGCTTCTACCAGTACCTATGCTAGTCATAATGTCTGACATTTTGTTTTTAAAAACTATTTAATATTTTAAATACAGTATTTATCAAATATTAGACCCAAATCTACATTGTAGAATTAATCCAGTTTGACACTCCTATAGCTGCCATGGTTCAATGCTATAGAATTCTGGGATCTATAGTTTTGTGATTTAGCTGGGCTGGGATTTAGCCTTCTCTGTCAGAGAGTTCTGGTGCTACAACAAACTCCAAATCCCAGGATTCCATAGTATGGAGCCATGGCAGCATCCTCCTCCTCCTCCTGTTGTTGTTGTTGTTGTGTACCTTCAAGTTGTTTCCAACTTATAGCGACCCTAAGGCAAACGTATCATGGGGTTTTCTTGGTGATATTTGTTTAGAGGAAGTTTGCCATTGTCTTCCCCTGAGGTTGAGAGCATGTGACTTGGCAAAGGCCACCTAGTGGGTTTCATGGCTGAGTGGGGAATTGAACCCTTGTCTCCAGATTCACAGTCCAACACTCAAACCACTACATCACGCTGGCTCTCCCCTTTCTGATGGGCATTTTATTATTATTATTTAGACTGGCCATTGGCAATTATTTGCCACAGAAAGGGGTTTTTTAAGTGTGTGTCTTTGTGCACATGCGTGCGTGTGTGGACTGTCCTTTTTATTCTCATAGTTATGTTTTAAACTAAATACTTTTAAACTGTCTTAAGCTATTTGTAGTTTAAATGTTATAAAACTTTTTTATTATAATGATTGTGTTTTGGCTGTGTATTGTTTCAAACTATTCTGTAAGCCACCTGGAGTTCCATGTTGAAAAAAAAGTGAGATGGTAAATAAGTAAGTAAGTAGATAGTGAATGGAAGCCATGCTATTCTATGTGTAATTAGAGCACACAATTAAAGAGGATATAATTATGCACTACTGCGAAAAGGGCCAATATCTTCTTTTCCCCAACCATGCCTTAGGAACCCTGGTTGTTAAGTGCAAATAGTGCAGTCACACACTCACAAACCACAAAGGTTGTGAGTTCAATCCTAGCCAGGCTCAGGCTCAACTCAGCCTTGCATCCTTCTGAGGTCGCTAAAATGAGTACCCAGCTTGATGGGGGCAATTAGCTTACAGTTGCAAACCGCTTGACTGCATGATGCGGTATGAAGCGGTATATAAATGCAGCTGCTATTGCTGTTGCTATTGCTATGCCTTGTCTCTCCTCAATCTCCTTAGACAGCTTTGTGAAGCTCATTACCCAAAGCCCATGCATGACATCCCATCCAAACAATGCAGTGTTGCTCAGTATTAAAACTGACACATTTGGCATTCTGAACTTCTGACTTTGAATACACTTACATTATTAAAGAAATGGGAACACATATTTTTAAAATTACCTTTTTCGGAAATATTTGAATGTACTGTTTTTAATTATTTTGGAAGGTTCTACAAAATATCCAGTAATATGACACTTAGCAGTATACCTCCATGTTTAAAAAAAAAAAAAACACCCCAAAACAAAAAGCACTTTCCTTCCATTTCTGCACTAAAGATAATGAGAAACATTATGGTTGAAATGTAATTTGTAGCAACAGTGATTTGCCAGCTAAGAAAAAGCTGCCCTGCCTCTAACTGCATTGCCAATGTGAAATCTGACTGAGAGTAGTGGACAGTTAACTGTAAGTAATTCTTCAAAGCCAATCTCGCAAAACAGAAAGAGCCCAGAAAAACATGATGGGAGTCCAGTCAGCAGTTTCTATTTTTGTGCTGCCTCATTTCCTCTACAGTTAGCATCTACAGAAATGAAGACAAACGAGCAGACCTTTCAGACATTTGTAAAATATGTTTAAACAGGTATTCACTTAAGGGGATAAGGTATATATTTATTCACAAATAACTCCACAGCAGAGATGTTATCTGCATGCGAAAAATACACATATTTGTAGATGTTTCAACACCAGTGTGTTAATATGTCAACCCATGCCATGGGTGGTCTTGCTTCAGAGGAGAAATCCCTCTTCTGAATCTCCAGAGGTGTTGTTGCCCAAAGAATGGTGCTTCACCAGATGAAAATCCCAAAGCAGCGAAGGTTATTTTTGTATTATCTAATTATTTTATGATACATTGCCGAGCAATCTATATTGAAGATGCTGCAATTGAAGGGCCACCCTGCCTGCAGGAATTCTAAAAGCTGTAATCCTAACAAACTCTGGTTATAGAATACATAGGACGTTTTCACACGGGGCTTTAGGAGGACGCTA